AGGGAGCTTTGGCTCTCCATCCTGCCCTCCAGGAACCAATGGGCATGGCCATGCAGACCTAGGGCACTCCACAAGAGCCACTCCCAGAGATCCTGTGGCAGAAACTGAGGCCAGGGCAGTCTAGGTCTAGTCAGGTCTAGGCTTAGGGCAGTGGTTCCCAACCTTTTGGCACCAGGGACCGGTTACATGAAAGGCAATTTTTCCATAAATTGGGGAGATGGGGAGGCCAGAGAGACCAGAGCTCAAGTGATGGGAGCAATGATGAGGAGGGGCTGTAAATACAGATGAAGCTTCAGCTCTCCAGCCACTGACCTCCTGCTGTGCAGCCCAATCCCTAAGTTTCATGGAAGATAATTTCCCCAGAGGGGGTGGGGTGGGGGGAGATCAGGCGATGTGTTATGCGGCCACTTCCTTTCAGGTTGTTGGGGACCTCTGGCTTAGGGTGTCAACTGAAAAGATCCTGCAGACTTGGCTGGTCCCCGCCAGCAGGGGGCGATAGAACACCTCAGGGCTTCCATTGTCCAAGACCCACACCGGACAAGATTCAGGCTTTAGGAGCCTGGCCCTGCAGGATGGTCCCAGACATCTGAGAGGACATTTCCAGGAAGGATTGGTGCAGGGCCAGGTTAGGAGTTCAGCTTGCCCAGGTCTAAGGGCGGTATTGTTTCTGTCTCATCAACTAAGTAGCAAGAAAAGCTGGTCTAAAGAAAGAAAAGAATGATGAGCATGCAGAGCGAGGCCCGCAAGAGACAAAGAAAGTGCACTGCTTGAATGCAGGATGGCTTCTTTTAACCTTCTTGAAACTGTGTTGCACTCTTGCCCTGGCATTCCATCAGACATTTTCTCTTTATAATACACTTCCGCCACTCCCTTTCTGTTTGTGCCATTTTCTTGCAATTTTTGTTACTTGCAAGCAGAGAGCCCTAACTTAATATCTAGAGCCAGATTCTTAGCTTTGTAGATTCAAAAACTTTACTGTTTTCACCGGAGCTAATTAACAATCTCTTGGCAATGAATGTGTTAAGAGGACCCATAACAAACTGATATGCACCTCAGATTGCCGATTTATCAATCTATAAAGATAACTTATTCTAGAAGAATAACATATGGATAATTCACTCTGGGTATTTCCCCAAGGTAGGTTAAATATGCTCAGGAGAAGAGACAGAATAGCAGAAGATTGTGTTATGAGCATATAACCAGACTAAAGAGAATTGGTAGGATTTTTCTTTCAAGTTAAGAGAGTTGAAGGAAATACCGTTTCTAGGAATATTTCTCTTTGGAAAATCACTTGTAGTCCTTGAACTCAAATAACCTGTTCTGGCCATTAAAATAACAAAATATTCTTATATTTTCTTCAATTTTATCTTAGACTTATTGTAGAGGATTTTTCTGCTGACCCATGATGCTTCCAAAAGTTTTACTAACTATGGTTAATTAACTTTTTTTACATTAACTGCACATCATTTACCAACTCTAGCATCTATTATCCTGCATGTCCTCTTTCAGTTACTATAATGTCTTCTCCCCACTTCCCAGGGTGATCACTATCCAAGATTAGTTTTGCTGCTTTTGAACTTCATGTACATGGAATCATATAGCATGTGCCATTTTGTGTCTGGCTTTTTCAATTCAATATTGTATTTGAGTGACATACATACTGTTTACTATGATTGCAATTTATTATTCTCATTACTGTATATAGTATTCCAACTGTGTGAATGTACAACAATTTATTTATCCAGGCTACCATTGATAACCAATTAGGAAGCTTCCAGTTTAAGCTATTATGAATAGTACAGCTATGACCATTATTAAACACATCTTCAGTAAACATATGAGGACTTATATTGGAAATATACTTAAGAGTGGGATTTCAGGGCCATAGTGTATAAAAATGTTCAGATTTAATAGATTCTGACACAAACATTTTCCAAAGTAGATGCATCAACTGACACTTCTATCAGCAGTGTATGAGAATTCCAGTTGCTCTACATGTTGTCCAATACTTGGTATTGTCTGAATTTTTTAATTTTAGGCATTTTGATGGATGCATATTATGGTTTTAATTTGCATTCCCCTGACTTGCAATACCAGCCAGGATATAGTATGTCCATGATAACCTATTTTTCCAATTGATTACAATGAGAAACTCAAGACAAAATACAAAAAGCAACTACTTGAGGGCTCTGAAGAGTAAACAAAAAGAGGTAAGTTGGACTGAAGAATGAAAATTAGGAGAAATGAGCCAGGTACTTGTTTTTCCTATTTTCTCCTACAGCTTTGATCTAGGGCCTCACACCTAGTGAAACTGTAGCAGCAGCAGAATCAGCAAAAACTGAAAGAAACCCATATTTCTTGCCAGATAAATGGGGAGCCAGAAGTTTGTGGGGGAATACTTAGCTCCCTCTCCCCTGGTCTTTCTTCTTTTATTTTTTCCCTCTGGGCTTTAGCCTAAGGACTTAGGCTTAGGCATGTACATTTACAGGACCAAGACAAATTCCTGTCTTTCTAGACAAAGGAACTTGGAAAGGAGGCCTCTGTGGTCTGAAAAGGATGAAGGGAACCCAAATTTTTTCTTGCTACTTTGCCCCAGGGTTGGACCTGCACAGCTGCTATAAGTATGGCAGGCAGCTAAAACTCCAAGAGAAACGTCGTATTTCTGGCCAGAGGATAAGGAAAAGAGGACCTTGCAAGATAAAGTGAAGGCCTGGTGTGGTGGCTCACGCCTGTAAGCCGAGCACTCAGTGAGGCTGAGGTGAGCGGATCGTTTGAGCTCAGGAGTTGTAGACCAGCTCTGAGCAAGAGTGAGACCCCATCTCCACTAAAAAAAAAATAGAAAGAAATTAGCTGGACAACTAAAAATATATAGAAAAAAATTAGCCAGGCATGGTGGGCATGCCTGTAGTTCCAGATACTTGGGAGGCTGAGGCAATAGGATTGCTTGAGCCCAGGAATTTGAGGTTGCTGTGAGCTAGGCTGATGCCACGGCAATCTAGCCTGGGCAACAGAGTGAGACTCTGTCTAAAAAAAAAAAAAAAAAAAAAAAATGACAGAATGAAAGGAAAGGAATATAAGAGGAGAGAGATGGAGAAGAGGATCTCCTAATTCTATAATTCTATGTATGAACCCATGCAAGTTCTATGCTCAAACCTTAACTAAGCATGTGCAGGATAAACACAAAGCAACATATCAAAGGGATCTCTGAAACGAATTACAATTTAAACTACTGCTCAAGTCCCAAAATAATCCCTGAGTGTTGTGTGCATAGAATAGACTCAAAGCAGCATAGGAAAGGCTTTGAAAACCAAACTGACATGATACCAATACTCACAGAAGGTGAGACTGAACTTGTGATCTGAACCAAACTAGATTGCCTTCTTAAACAAAAGATGAACATTCTCTGAAGGCTCTTAACAGGACCCAGAGTCTACGAAACATAATATTCAAAACGTCTAGGATAAAATCCACAATCCAAAAGCAGTGGGAAAATGTGACCAACTCTCAAAGGTAAATATAATCAACAACTGCCAACCCCTAGATGACCAAGATGTTACAATTATCAAAGATTTTAAAGCAACCATCACAACTAGGTAGTAGTTGAACAATTTCTCTCTTAAATAGTCATATGCTGCATATATCATGGTGGTCCCGTAACATTACAATGCTATATTTTTACTGTGCCTTCTCTACATTTAGATACACAAATCTTACCATTGTGTTAGAATTGCCTAAAGTATTCAGTAAAATACTGTAAAGGTTTATAACTAAGGGGCAACAGACTATACTATATAGCCTGGGTGTGTAGGAGGCTATAGCAGCTAAGTGTATCTAAGTACACTCTATGTTTGCACAACGACAAAATCACCTAACACTGCATTTCTCAGAACATATCCCCATCATTTTAAGTGATGCACAACTGTATACGCTGTATTCTAAAAAACTTCTTGCATTATTTATCAGAATCCATAAGTATGCTCATACGAGTTTTCTTTGTAATGGCAAACCTGGGAAACGGAAGGAATAAATTGTCACATACACACAAAAATATTGCCAGTGTAGAACAGTGAAAATAAAGGAACAACAGCTACACGCTTCTACTTGTAACTACCTATGATGAATTTACAAGCAGTGTTGAATGAATAATAAATATTATATAAAAATAAGCTATCCGTATATATTAATGGCTCATAGTTTATCAAATTAAACATACATGTACATAAACACATTTTAAAAAAGAGAATAAAGCCCAAATACAGGAGAGTGTTATCTCTGAAAAAAGGTAATGGGATGGGATCAGAAAAGACACTGGAAGCCTAGCACAGCATGGCTCACGCCTGTAATCCTAGCATGGGAGGTTGAGCGAGTGGACTGTTTGAGTTCCGGAGTTCGAGACCAGACTGAGCAAGAGCGGGACCCAATCTCTACTAAAAATAGGAAGAAATTAGCTGGACAACTAAAAATATATATACAAAAAATTAGCTGGGCAAAGTGGCGCATGCCTGTAGTCCCAGCTACTCAGGAGGCTGAGGCAGGATTGCTTGAGCCCAGGAGTTTGAGGTTGCTGTGAACTAGGCTGATGTCACAGCACTCTGGTCCAGAGTAAGACTCTGTCTCAAAAAATAAATAAATAAAAGCAAAAGTTTACAAAATGTAACACAAAAGACACTGGCATTTTTAACAATATTGGCAATATCTTAGTTTTAAAATTACCAGTTGGTTCCAACGTGTACGGTGCTTACTTATCTGTTACACCTACTTGTGTATCAAAACAGTTTTCTAAACGTCATCACATGTGCATGAAACAACAGTGTTCTCCTTCTTTAGTAAAATAACTTCTCCAAACGAACAACTCACGCCCCCATATTCCCTACCCATACACAGGCTTTCCACGGCCCTGAACCGATCACAGTCACTTCCGCCTCCACCTCCCTAGCCCCGCCAATCTCAGCGGAAGTACTTTCCTCTTGGGTCCTCCCGCCTGTAGGGGGCTCTCCGAGGCTTCTAGTGCCACGAAGCCCTCCTGTCTGGGCTGTCCCTATGACGCCTGTTAGTTTAGGCCTAGAAAAAAAATTCTCATTATAACTTTTCAGCCAGGAAACAGTAGCACGGGCAACTTAGTCTGGACAATAATGCTCAAACTCAACTTTTGCTTAGTGCCCTCATTATGAAGCCCTGACGCAGAGGTGGACGCCAATCAGGCGGTATGGGGACAGCCCTGAGGCTCTGAAAGGCCCTGGGCCGCTTCCTCCTGTGAAGACGTAGCTGCGGGTGGCTGTGGCGGTGGCGTCCAAGATGTCGACCAAGAATTTCCGAGTCAGCGAAGGGGACTGGATTTGCCCTGACAAAAAGTGAGTTCACGAAGGGTCTCAGATTGAGGCAGAGTTTATAAGTGGAGGCTTTCTCAGGTCGGTTCGGCATTTTCCGTTTCTACAATCTGTCGTGCCTGAAGCCGAGCTGAGGTGGCGAACCGCCAGCTCCCGGGCGGGAAGAAGGCTCCCAGTCTCCTCACGAGAGAGGTCTTTCGGGGAGCCTTTGTTTTAGGTATGTTGCTAGCGTTTCCGCAACATTATAATATCCCCAAGGTAGCCTCTCTTTTTGGAATGCGAGATGGCCTCCCTTTTTGCCCCCACACCCCACCCCCGCCTCAGCCGGGTTTCAGCGATAAGGAAATCTCCTCGTGGGTCGGGCCAGCTTGGTGTTGGTTCTCCCCCACGTGACTTTTTTCTGCAGAACTTTATTCTTGTTCACGGAAAGCGTTGGTTTCTCGCACTCGCCCTTTTGCTTCTCATAGTTCATCTTGTTTTGTATTTTTAATGAAAACTTTTTCTCCGTACTATTTTTCCCTTTTTCCGAATCCTTTTTGTCCTGGGAAGTTCCGACTTTTTTCTTCGTTGACCTTTAGTTTCTCCACAAAAATTGGGCTTTTGGCCCCCACAGAGCCGAAAGGGAAGAGAAGAGGCCTATTTTTGCCTCCTTGGCTCCGAAGATGCTTGCAGCAGAGTAGCATGTAGTGGCTGTGCTTTTTGACATTGTCGTTAAAGCCAATGTGCTCTGAATTGTTAGACTTTATTGAAGGGTGCACAAATAGGTGTACCTATTTGGAAATGTATGGAAAATAATCTTTTATTTTTTTGTACCTAAGTTAGCAGTAGATAAAGAGAGTTCATGATAGTAAAGAGCAAGAACATACCTGGGTTTAGTTTCTATTCGGTTACTTGTAGACCATGTGACTGTAAATAGGTTTTATAACTTTGCTGAAAAATAGGAGAATTGCTTCCTTATAATGAATACATGAAATGGCATGGATAGTGTGTGTAGAGCAACGAAATGTTGCAAATACTTACAAATTGGTAGCTATTGATAGTATTTTAGTATTAAGATGACCTGCAGAAACTCAAATCTAACTCATTGAAAAGAACTACAGTTATATGTTATGAATAGTATTGCCCTGAGTGGTAAGACAGTAAACGTTCAAAAGATTTAGACAGCTTCTGACTTTCATGTTGTTGATCACCTGTAGAATAATGTGCTTTCATTTGTGTCCTTGATGGCAGCACACACAAATATTTGAGGTACAATGCTAGGAGAGTACATTTCAATTCATTTATAAGAATAGATTTTTGCTTCTACAATATGCATAAATCCGGGAGACATTCAGTGTTTATTGAGGTCATGAGAAATATTTTGGGGGGGGGGGGAACATAGCCTAAAAATTATTTAGAGTACTTCTCTGAGTTTATTGTCATCCCATACTTCACATCTGTATTTCATTCAAATATAACACCTTAAAAATCAGCTTTTCAAAATTTAAGCATTACATGTCATTCAGACCATTTAACATGATTTCACTGATATGCACATGCACTACTAAGGTCATGTGATTGAACCTGTAATTTTTTAGTTTTGTATTGAATACTCCATGTGTTGAAGGTATTGATTGTCATGTCACTTTCTTCAGCTAAGTCTTAGAGGTTTGATAAATACCCTGAAAACTGAACTCAGTTTTCTTACAATTATTGAACATTTCTATATTTTTAATAAATACCATCTCACCTAATATCTGTAAAAAGGGTATTTCATTAATTTTCTCCCCATTGGTCCAGTTCTAGGATTCTGTGTTTCCTATAATACACATTTTTATAGTGTCAGATTTTTGTATATGTCTGTTTTCTGTACTGAGTGTTACTTTGCCAGTGATTATTGAAGTGGAGTCAAATCTCACATTAACTTTGCGAGAGATCTTGAAGGTAACATTGATATTATCATGACTAAAATAAATTAGAAGTTCTGGATTCCAGATATGTAGTAACGGCACACTAAACTTTAGAATTTTACAAATTTAAAAAGTATCTCTATAAATGCTTTTTATTTCATTTTTAGATGTGGAAATGTAAACTTTGCTAGAAGAACCAGCTGTAATCGATGTGGTCGGGGTAAGTAAGGAGAGTCTATTAATGTTTTATATATAATTTCTTCGTTATTTCTTCACATTCATACTGCATTTTTCTGTTTTCAGAGAAAACAACTGAGGCCAAGATGATGAAAGCTGGGGGCACTGAAATAGGAAAGACACTTGCAGAAAAAAGCCGAGGCCTATTTAGTGCTAATGACTGGCAGTGTAAAACGTATGTGTTTGAAATCATTGTCCACTCTTCCTTTCGTAATACTATATATCCAACCACGACTCGGTATTAAAAACAGTTTTACAAACTGTTATTAGTCACTTCGATAAGCCAGGGTAACCTTTTAAAATCAAAGTCTGTTGATTGTTATTCAGTCTGTATCTCATATTTAAGTACAGTATATAAAGAAATTTTAATTTTTTTTGTTGTATTTCTAATGGTAACATTAGTTGTTACTATAATGGATAACAACCAAAAGGAGGAAAGAGTATTTAAAAGTATTTTCTATTATTGAAAAATCCCCCAAATTTTTAGCATGTTATTAATGTGAAATATACCACAAAATTCATTTTGCCTGTTTACAAAGAAATGTTAGAATCATAAGTTGCACACCATAAATAATTACTCCTAATTCTATGGGCTTGTTAATATTTTTGATTTTCAAGTTTAGATATAATTCCTTCTTGCTTTTTTCTCATCTTTTCTCTATGCAGATGAATCATATGTGAAAGAGGACTGTCTTAGAAAACAGTCTTATGTAAATTTCTGATCTTATAGATATTAAATTTTTATTAGAAATTTTTTCAGTAACAGACTAAGTCACTGGATTAAGTATACTGTGGAATTCAGTACTTGAATTGATTCCTTTAAAAAAATATTTAATGTTATTTAGAGCATATAAGCTTATTCTTTTTGAGGTGAATTCAGAGACTGAGAAATTCGTGAAACCTTTAAAGTGATTTTCTTTTTTTTCCTTTTTCTGGGGGGTCGGGGGAAAGCATCAGAATCTCTGTACAGATTGAATATTCCTTACATGAAATTCATGGAACCAGAAGTGATTGGGATTCCAGATTTATTCACATTTTGGTTCAGTATCCCTAATCTAAAAACCTTTAATGCTCCTTTGAGTGTCATGACAGTGGTCATAAAGGATTTTGGAACATTTCAGATTTCAGATTCTAAAAATCCTCAATTTCTCAAAATTACAAAAGCACTCTTCAAATGGTATAGATTTCCTTCTCTGCTTAATAGCTTAGTCTGTTGTTGCAACCCACATTCTATTGTTAAATCAGTGTACATTTTCTTTATTTACATTACCTTTTAGTGAACATTTGATAATGATTTCATCCTGGTTTATATTTTAAAATTCTAGACTGTCTAAAAATTCAATATTTTTTTAGTACTGTATCATGGCCTTTTAATTTGACATTTTTCACTTCTAAAGTTGCAGTAATGTGAATTGGGCCAGAAGATCAGAGTGTAACATGTGTAATACTCCAAAGTATGCTAAATTAGAAGAAAGAACAGGTAAGATAATAACCACATTTTAACTAAGTGATTTTTTTTAAAGAACTAAAAATTGAATGGATAATTTTATCACTTTCACATAAGGGCACAGTAATAACCAAGGGTTCTATCTGTTCTGCCCTTAATGTTTCTCACTAGGATTGTATTTCCCTTACACACAAAAATATTTTATTTTATAATTTCACAATTTATAAAATATAGTGTTAAGGAGCCGTATCCTAACAAGTAGGGACATTAGAATACTTTTAGAAATGTTTCCTCTCCCCCCTTCTCTCTTAGTGGTTAAGATATTTGTTAATAGTGATGATATAGTAATTTATTTTTATTGTTTCAATGTCTTTGTATGGCAAAAGGGCAAAGGTGTACCTTTTAAAGTGTTCATCTAAAGTTCAGACAGTAATTCTCAAGCTTGGCTCTACATTAGAATCATCTGAGAAACTTTAAAAATACAGATTCCAAATTATGTAGCTGTGTTCTTGGTGTCCCAAAAATCTGTAGGTTAGTTGGATGGTGTTGGTAATCATTGGCCTGAGTAATAAGTTACCATTGATTTTGTGTGTTGTCAGTGGTGAAACAAGAGTATTTACCTAATAGAATATGATTTTCCCGATATCAGCAGTTAGCCCAACCACATTATCTGTATACTTCAAATCTGGTTTTATCCCTCAGCTACTCATACATTACATAATCAAAATATTCCTTGTATATATAGTAGTCACTGTGTCAGGCCTAGACTTGGTAAACTACTTCCCTGATTTCTTTTCCTGTCTAACTTTAGACCAGCTTCACCTTATATTTAGTTTTTGGGGGTAACAAGCCCGCTCTTGAATTTTTTAGACCTATCGGTTCTGGACTACACCAGAAATTCTACTCTCTCCCTCCTCCCCTAAGTTATATTCTTAAATATGGCAACATTATAACCTAATATTCTAGATCCCCCCCCCCCTTTTTCAACCTTCAGATCCCACCTCTTATTCTCAGAAATGATTTTGCCTTTGTACTGATTGGGTAGGTTGAGGTCTTCTGACAACGGTCTCCTTTTTTTTCTCTCTTCCTCTCTCCAAGATTCCCCTGCCTACCTCCCATCCCCCACCCTTCTGATTGTTTATTCTGTCCCTTATAGGTTGTTCTGCTTCCTGGCCACTGAGTGTTGAGATTCCTGAAGGCCTAGTCCCTAGGCCCTCTTTTCTCTATTTTCTAGGTATTTTCTTCTAAGCCAAAGTTTAAGTAACCACTGGCATGCCATGATACCCAAATTCATGTCTCCAGCTCAGACTTCTTTAACCCATATATCCTGCTGCCTAATCATCATTGCCATATAAATGTCAAACTCATTATATTCAAACTGAATTTGTGATTTTCCCCTTGGGATCTGGCCCTCTTCCAGTGATCTCTTTCTCATGATTAGTACCATTTACCATAAATCTGTTACATAAGCCAGAAATCTAGATGCCTTTCTTAGCCTAGATAGCTCCTTCATCTTCTTTTCCACCACCAACCTAGGCAAAGATGTCTCATGGGAAAATAGCCACCTAGCTGTTCTCTATATATTCTCTTCCTGCCCAGTTGCAAGCAGAGTTTCTGTTTTTTAATTCCAAATCAAAAACTACTTTTGTTTTAAACTCTTGGATGTTTTTAGGATGAAGTCTAAAATCTTTTAACAGGTTGAAACACTAATCTCAAAAAGCTTTTTTTCTATTTACATTCTCCTTGACCTATTTCATGACTACTTAACTAAAGTTTCACTATCACAAGAGCAATGGTCTGACAAACTGACCTCGATTTCCTTTACTCATTATCTTCTTTCTATCATTCTGGTGTCTTGAACCTTTTGCTACAAGTATTTGTCTTCGCTGGTAACAGTTGAAGGTGTGAAATAACTTTGTTATTCTCTGATTTCTCTTCACTATTTGTAATAAAACAAAACACTATTTGTGCAAGGTTCAGGGGAACCATTTCCTGAATGTAGGACAGTATGTGAATAAAAAAGAACTTGACTCACTACCTCTGAAAGATTGTTGACTTTTGCATAATTCCATCAAATTGTTGTTCGGTAATTTACTTAGCCATTCTCCTGTGGTTGGATTTAGGGTTATTTCTATTTTTGTCTGCTTTTATGTTTTTTTAAACCATGAAGGGTAACTACATAGAAACATTATGATTTTTATTCTTTTGGATTATATCTTTAGAATAAATTCTCAGGACTTTAATTGTTCAAAGCATAGAATCACAGAATTTTCAAGTTAGTATCTTTGTCCTTTGAAGTGTGTTATATTTGTGCCCTATTCTTTCTTCATTCCATTGTCAACAACCCTAATCCAAATACTCATACCTTTAGCTTTTTACATTAAACTGAGACAATTTTGAAAGGATTTTCATTATAAGACTTTTATTAAAAACCTACAGAAATTCTTGATTGCGTTGTAAAACCTTTAGTGAAATTCAGTTTAAGTGGTAACAGAATTGTCGTCTTTTACCTATTCATTGAAAAAATATTTATAGGCCACTGCAAGGTGTTGGGGATACCTGGGTGAGCAAAATAGACAGGTAGAGCCAAAGATTAATGAAGTCCTTTTTGAGAAAGCTATGATTAAGCTAAGAAGTGAACATGAGTTCCAAGCAAGAGCAAACAGCTTTTGTGAAGACTCTGAGACTTGATAGAATTTAGTATGTTGGATGAACTCTTCCTCCTTAGTTCTAGAAAACACTTCAAAATAGGCAGAGGCCATATAGATCATAGTAAGAAGTTTATTTTTTATTGTTACAATGGGAAACATCTGAAGGAAATTTTAAAAGCAAGTAGCACAATCTACTAGTTTGTGAAAAGAATTGAGAGGAGGTGGCAAGAGCAGAAGCAAGAAAAACAATTTTTATAGTATTACCTGCAGTGTTCCAAACCAGTCCTCTAACTCACATATTACTCTGTGGAAATGATATGCTCATTTTTTTCATGAAAAGCAGCTCTACTGTATTTTCCATATATAGCGAAAAAGTTCTTGAACTGGATTTGTAATCTCCATGCCCTGTCAGAACATAAAAATAGCTTTGTATTCGCTGTGATTTTCACTTTAAAACTGTCTTACTTGTATACCTTCACATTACCTATGTGAGGTATAGTTCACTTTCTAATCTTTACTATGTATTTTTTAGCTTTCCGTATTTACCATATCACTTTTTCAGTTGTATATTATTACATGTAAACGAAGAACTCTACTGAAAGCTTAAGTCTTGATTTTAAATAGGATTATTGTAATATTTTTACATGCTTCCACATTACCTCCAATTTAACAAACACTTTTCTGCATTAATGTCCTAGAGAAAACGGCAAGGTTTCATTACATTGGTGTGGTTTGGTTTTTCTTTTTCCTTTGTAAATTATTTCCCATCTAGATCCTATGGATTTTGTTTAAAACTTTTATATTTCACCTACTTCTAAATATTTTTAAAGTTTTCACCTGGTACAAAGTGTAATGAAGAAAAGATGTTTTATTAGTGTGATTTGTTTGTTTGTTTGTTTCTGGAAAGTGAAATTTTAAAATGATTTTCTTAATACCCATGATTGGCAAATTTGAAGTCATAGTTCTAATTTTTAAGAAATTCTATTTTTTAAATAAATCTATTTAACATTTTGCTGATACATGAGGTCCATACGTCTGTGAATCACTAGCTTTATGCACTGATACTGCTCTGGAATATGTGACCAGTTAGATTGTGTTACTCTTGACCACATACCTCTTTAATTTTTCTTTTCTTTTTTTCCCCCTTATTTTTTTATAGAGACAGGGTCTGGCTCTTGCTCAGGCTGGTCTCAAACTCCTGACCTCAAGTGATCCTCCCGCCTCAGCCTCCCAGACTGATAGGATTACAGGCATAAGCCACCGCGCCCAGCCTCTTTAATTTTTCAACAGGCGACTTATTCAAAATCACTTGTCTCACTTTTTCTAAAACTAGCTGGCTCTCTTTCCTACTCCAGTCTCTCTTAGGATTACCTCAAAGACCTGTCAATTGAATTGTAAATATTAGTTGTAACATCAGAGAGTAATGGTTTCCTAAACTTGACTACTTTTTAATTTGAAAGTTTATTGGCTTTTTCAGAGAATGTGAATGACTTTGAACTATGTATTTAAAAAACAATTGCATTAAACCAAGGCCAAAAGATGGCCTTTATTGTGTCATTACATTTACCTATAATTAGGAACTTTCTAAGCGTTAATATCCCACTATATTTTAGTTCAGTAAAATTTCAGTGTGTCAGATTTCAGACTATCTGCAACTGGCAAACAGTAAAATTAGACGGATAGATGACTGTTGTTGTTTAGAGTTTCTTTTTCTCTGAAGGTGATTTAGGCATAATGTGTTTGTTATTCAAATGAATTGTCCTAGGATAACAATTTATGCTCTCTTTTAGGATATGGTGGTGGTTTTAATGAAAGAGAAAATGTTGAATATATAGAAAGAGAAGAATCTGATGGTGAATATGATGAGGTACACTGTTTATTAATGTTCAGATTGAACATCAATGAGAAAAATACGTTAGAAAATATCTTAAATGCAAAGGAAAATTTTTAACTATTTCAGTTTTGTAAGTACAATTTGAGTCTTCTACAGGAATTTATCATTCTGTAGAAAATCATAACCGACTTAAATATATAAAAATAATATTTTAGAGAATGTTTTAATTTTAATACATTTTCAGGTGACAAATATTTTAAAACTTTTTCTCTAGTTTGGACGTAAAAAGAAAAAGTACAGAGGGAAGGCAGTTGGTCCTGCATCTATATTAAAGGAAGTTGAAGATAAAGAATCAGAGGGAGAAGACGAGGATGAGGATGAAGATCTTTCTAAATATAAATTAGATGAGGTATATACAATTTCTCCTATCTCACTTCAACTACACCATGACGTGGATGCTTTGACAAGCTTGGCCCTTTGGTGAAGATACATTGTATGTTTTCATTTATTCTCACAAAGGTTTTGAGCTTTTACTCTGCCAAGTACTATTTTTGTTCAGGAGATAGACTAGTGGCCAAAGCAGAATCACCCTTCTCTTATTAAATTGTAAAGAGAGGACGATAAAACTAAACAAGATAATTTAGATATCAGTAATGTTACGAAGACACATGGTGTGATAACAGATAATAGAAGAGCTACTGTGGTTTCAGCAATAGAGAATTTTCTGAGGAGGTGAAATTTGAGCTGAAACTTGAATGATATGAAGAAGCCAGCAAGAGAAGCCTAGGGTAAGAGCACATTCAGGCAGAGAATAGCAAATACAGGTTCCCTAAGTGGGAAACAAGCTAGTAACCTTTAAAAAGTGTAGTGTAGTGTAGTTAGAATAGAGGGGAGAATGAGATGAAGGGACAGCACTTACTTCAGATCTAGTGATGTGATATTCGTGGGGCCAGAGTCTAAGTTTTATGGTTTGGCTGTGTAGAACCAGATTAAGAATACTCAAGTCTTACATAAGAGGCCCTGGAATGCAACTAAAGAAATTAATATGGGCCCTTTTAAAGTTTTTATGCAACAAAGAGATAAATTTATCTGACCTGTGTTTCAGGGTGATGACTGTCAGTATATTGAGATTTTAGAAAGGCAAAATGGATATTTAGACTTTGGGAGATGAGCTAAGATGTTACTGTAATATATTAGAGATAAAAAGCAAAGTTCTTAAGAGTAAGGGTGGTAGATTCAAGGACTTTGAAGGAGGTAGAATTGAAAATTCTTGACAACTGATTTGGTGTAATGCATTGCGTGTGACAGAAAAAAGAGGAAATGAGTATGACTTCTAGGTGTGTGTATGTGAACTATCTGAGACAGTTTCCAAGTCTGTTTAGCTGAGATGATAAATTATAGGTGAAGTTCAGAATTGGGAATGAACTTGGTGAGATACTGCTGCTGATAGGGAGATGTCCAGTACCCAGAACTAGTCATTTTTTCTAGTAGGTAACTTCAATATCTAAATGTCTAAATATAATTGAATTTTTGTTAGGATGAGGATGAAGATGATGCTGATCTCTCAAAATATAATCTTGATGCCAGTGAAGAAGAAGATAGTAATAAAAAGAAACCTAATAGACGAAGTCGCTCAAAGTCTCGATCTTCACATTCACGATCTTCATCACGCTCATCCTCCCCCTCAAGTTCAAGGTCTAGGTCCAGGTAAACGGGTACAGGTCAAGGGTAACACCAGTCAAAATGTCAGTATCTAACTTCTTTATTTATAACTTTTATTTTTCTTGATTAAATAAGCTTTTCTTTTTATTTTGAAGATTTAATTCAAGCCACCTTTTACAAGACTTTTTATCTTAGTGCCATGAAGTTACTGTCCAGTATTTTCAGAAAAGCAAAATCTTAACATAAACTTCCTTAGCCTATTTTAGCATCATGCTTTTTTATTAAAGTAGACTTAAAACTTGATTAAATCATTCCATGCACTGCTATTTAATCATCTAAATAGCTTACATTTAGGAATTGTTAAGTAATGAAGTGAAGATTTATGTTTTTATTCTAGATGTTGAAATTAATACAGAAATTTTCTAGGCATTAATCAGATCATTGCTTATTAACACTGTTTCAGTAATTTACTTGGTTTCAGTATTCTGAATAAAGGAGCAAGATTAGCAATATTAGTTTTGTTGACTTAATTTAAGTAGAGGACTCTGTTGGATATTCTTTTGTTTGCTAATGTAAAATATATAATCTCTGGTTTTAAAGTTAACAATAAAAATAGAATTTTAGGTGAGTAAAAGCAGTGACCTAAACAATATTCTCTTGATGAACCCTGTTCAAGTGATACCATGAACAATGAATTTTGATCATACTTAGGGATAAAATATTAGCTAATGAGTACTTAAATTAGGTAGTTTTTAATTAAACACTATAAAGCTTGGATGCTTAAAGAAGTGTGGTTATAAACAGTAATTTTGAGATGAAAATGTAATGGTCTTTTTTTCCAGGTTATAATTTTAAGGGACTAATTAATGATGTGAATTAGATTAATAGATTTTATTTCATTTCTGGTTTTTAGAATTCAAATGGACCATACTTCTGTGTCATATTTTTTAATAATTACCTAAACCTATGATAGAATTGTTATATACTCTTCCTTTAATTCTCCAAGCTTTGAGTACCCAGAAACATAGGGGGTCAAGTATACACATTGCTAACATTTACAACTTTGTGCTAACTAGAAACTGTGAAAATAAATATGAATAGAAGGTTTTTTATAAAGGAAAGTGATTCCTTTATAGAGACATTCTAGAGAAATTCAGTGTAAATTACAATATTCCATTTTCCTGGATGTGATAAAGTGATAATGTTCAGTATTTATATTTTTACAGTTAGGTGATTTTATAGCCAGTAACTTAATCAAACGTGGAAAGTGATAAAGCTAACTATTTTTTTAATTGCCTTAATTTTTGTTAATAAAATGAAAGATTTATTTAATTTAAAATACTGTATTTTGAAAATATATATCTTGTATAGTTACATTTTTATATGAAAATGAACTTTAATACATGTCTTCCTTTCAGTGTTCATATCACAAAGCTCAATTAAGTTGTCCTGGAAAAAAAAATCCTTCCATGTTGTTCCAGGTCCCGTTCAAGAAGTTCTTCCAGTTCGCAGTCAAGATCTCGTTCCAGTTCCAGAGAACGTTCGAGATCTCGTGGGTCGAAATCAAGGTGAATGAGGTAGCATCTCTCTGTAAAGCAGAGAGAAGAAATATTTAAAGGCTGCGGAAGGTGTTGCTGCTTTTTTCCCCCTTATTTTGCTTCTCTATTTGTCAATTTTATTTTTTAGCATTAGAAAACTAATGCACTTGCCTCAGCTTAATTTTTTCACCATGGAATATTTCCATTGCCAGCAGTGTGCCAAGACATTCCCATGATTGAATTAAGGTGGCTATTTTGCATTATGTAAGGGTTTGTTATGTGGTGCTAAGATGTGATGAATAGAAAGAAATATGAAGCCAAGTCTTGTCACTACATCTCTAGTATATTAAGATTATGTTTGCAGTAGTATTTCAAATAAAATTGGATATGTAAAGTTTACTCCATTATTAAAAGAAAGAAAAACCCTATCTCAAAGCAGGTTTTATTTGGCAAAGCAGTTGTTTCAGTACTTACAGAAACAAATTTGCTATTTATATCAGATAAAGTTTCTATGGAGTGTTATACACATATTTTCATTCCCAATTCTACACAGAGTATTAAAAACCATATTCCTAGAAAAACCCCTTCTCTTAAAACTAAATCAAGAAGTATGGTTGGTTAGGGTAGGCGTACGGAGTACATGATCCTTAGTAATAAATGTGGTAAACTTTCAGGTTGTACACTTAGTCAGACCTGTGTAGGGACTGGTAATTTCTAAAGATGCTCTCTTGCAGAGTTTTTTTGGTAATTAGTCAAAATACGATGCCCTTGTTTAAAGTTCATTTATAATGATCTACTAAAGACATTTAACATAAATAACTAAAATTCCACTTGTGTGGAAATTCACACTAAAGCTTAATAATGGTTCTTTTGATAATTCTGGTTGATTTGAGCCAAATCTAGCATTAGAGAACAACTGCAATATAAGTCACATTAAGGAGGAAAGAATGATATGCACACTTGTTTGTATTAAGCCAATATAAAATGGAGAGCAAATGTGTTTATTATTATTTAATATCAATATTTTGGTCCTTTTATTTTAGTGCCTTTTAGATAAAAATCCTTAAGTTCTGGTATTCCCTTTGGGAACCACTATAATTAAGGTTTACAGAACAGCCTTCATACTCTTTCTACACATTTTTTCATTGCTTATAACTTTCCAAAGAATTCTCTTTTTGGGCTTTCTGGTTTTATTTTAAACCCAAAGGTGAATTTTTTGGGAAGTTTGAGCTAAATTCCTTCAACCAAAATATATAAATGAAGAAAAAAATTACATTGAAACATTTACATATTTCCTTCTACCTGAAGCATGTGAATGTCAACACTTCATACTTCATGAATAGTGATTCTTCATAAGAATGAGTATTATATATTGTTTTAAATTTACTCATTTTATTTTTCTTTGAATATTTAGCAACTTAATACAGTTTCTGGTTGGGTTTTTTTGTTTTTGTTTTTGTTTGGTTTCTGTCCCATATGCCCGGTTTTTCCATAACAGCTTAACTGATGAGTTGCATAATTCCACAAGGAAAATTGTTTATTTTCCTCACAAGTTGCATATAAGATACATATTTTCTCCCCAAATGAAAGGATGCATTTCCTAATCATAAAGTCATGCAAATGCAGTTACCTATTGTTTTTTACTATTTATGTATACTTCGAAAAGCCTTAAACCAAAATGATTTAAATTCTATTTTAATACAGTAAGCTGGTTTTTAATTACAAGTGGTGAGCACTTATAATTTTAAAAAGAGATGAAATTAAAGTAATTATATTTAAATAGAATGTTTTCATGGTTGATCCAGAAGTCTTCTGTTGAGTAAGCAGTAAGTATTCCTTAAAAAATTTTCATAGTTTTAAATCCTGTTTTGTTTATTTTTGGGGCTATCTGATAACTAAACATTCTTCCTCATTTCTTCCTTTAATAAAATGTTTGATTTGTTTCTCAATCAATGAAGATCCAGCTCCAGGTCCCACAGGGGCTCTTCTTCCCCACGAAAAAGATCTTATTCAAGTTCATCATCTTCTCCTGAGAGGAACAGAAAGAGAAGTCGTTCTAGATCTTCTTCATCTGGTGATCGCAAAAAAAGACGAACAAGATCACGGTCACCCGAAAGGTTTGGGTTTCTGTAGAAATAAGAATGGGTGTTAAGTGTGTTTAATAGATAAACTTCCTAGTCAAGGGTTAGCTTTTTATTATCTCTTTTGTTCCAACTTTAAATTATACTTTTCAACTTTGAACTTCAAAAAACAGATTACTTTGTTTAGTCTTTGTACATTGATCAGGTTGTTCAGTATAGTTACAGATCAAACCATTCTTTGATCATTTTATTGTTTAAATTTTTATTTCCATACATAGATACTATAGCCAACTCTCGGTTATTTCTGTCTTTTAAGATTGCAATTCAGAATGTGTATTTTGAAGTAATATAGCTTGATTTTTATATTTATGCTATTTTAAATTTAATTAGAAATCATAAGAATTCTAGGGCATATAATAAAAAATTAACTTTCAGATCACTGGAAATCTGTCCTCATTTAAATATGTGTAAATGCATTTCCACAGCAAATTATTTCATACCCTTTATCTGTAAGGAAATTGTTCCTTGTAGCCAATACATTTTTCATACTGCAGTCCAAATCTTTTTTTTTGAGAAAGACCTTTATGAGGTTACTTTATCTATATTGACATTTTTAAAAATTTGAAAAGTGCAGCAACAGGCTAATTGCTCAATTTCATTAACTTTCTTGGTTTTTAATGTCTAATTATATAGTCATTTGAATGGCTTTATTTGTAATATTTGCAAATTTTCCATATCCTATTAGCTTGTGAAAATAAAGATTATGTAAAGTCTGATAATTGCTTGTTTTGGTGGTAGGATTATCTCATGATTCCTACTTGTACAGTTTTGCTTCTTCACATTTTGAAGTTTAGATACTAAGATTACACACAGTTATCTTGTTTCTGTGCATTTGTTTCTTTGTAAGAAAATTACTCTGTATTTGAGTGAAATTCATTCTGTTGCTTTCTTACCACTTCTGCAAATTTTTATCTTAGCCACATATAATCCCCCTAGTTTGTTGTCATCTAAACTTAATGAACATGTTCTCTATTCCATAAGCCAGGTGATTGGTGAAAACACTAAACAACCCTGAGCCCAGGGCCAACCCCTACGGAACACCACTACTTTACCCAGGTTGATATTGACTTATTCATATTAGCTGCATGAATATAACCCTATAACTAATTGTACAATCATCTTGTGTGACCTAGATTTCCAAAACTTAATTATTTATGAATATATTTTCTCATACACAGTCAGAAGCTTTGCTGTTTCTGTTTTACGTATAGATTACACTTTCTACAGTGTATCACAGAAATTGGTTTAGTCACACTTCCATTACCAACTTTATATATGACTTTGTTGTATATTATCTGTAATTTTATACATTTTTGCAGGTTTTTCTTCATTGTCTTAAATAATTGAGAGGTGGCTATATTTTGAAATGAGAAGATATTTTGAAATTGTAGAGAGTTTTAAGTTACACTTATACCATTAATGGGTTCACATCCAAAGTCTAAACACCAGATAATTTTATGTGTGTAAATTTATATCTTAGTTTTTAATGACTTATTTTGCTAGCATCAAGATATTTAATTTTTTATATTTTCACAGTCTTAAGAATGTTTGCTGAAGTTCAGCTCTAGCTTACTAGGTTGCCTGCTTTTTCTGTTATGTCTTACAGGCACCACAGGTCATCTTCTGGATCATCCCATTCGGGTTCCCGTTCAAGTTCAAAAAAGAAATAATGTATTAAAATTTACATCAAAAAAAAAAAAATCCAGTACAGTGCATGAAGCATATTTTTAAAGAAGTTGGTGTCATACTTGGTCAGAAGTGCTAAATCTGCTAGTAGAGGTGCATGCCTTTCATTGCTTTTCAGAAAAATACAGCTGTGTTTATTTGTAAAGTTAAAAGTAAATAGCATTTTAAGCCATAATGTCCCAAAATAGATGCTCTATTTATCATTTATTGTTTACAGCCATTTGCTTCATTCATCAACCATCTCAGCTGTAACAAAGTACTTTGTTTCCTAATTTAAACTCTTGTTTTTCTCATTTCTAAATATATCCTGTCTATTGGCTAAAACAGGATTACCAAGGCTTGTCCAAACTTTGGACATGGAGGCAAGACTGGTAAACTTATGGAAAACCACCTTTTTATGTTAATCTAGTAAAAGAGGTCTACCTGTTTATGTTGTTAACACATGTTAAAGTTATTCTTACCAGAAAAGGTCAAACTGAGTTTAAACAGCTAGCTGGAAACTTCTTTATTTTTAAATTCCCTATGCTAAGGGTGCCTTAGAATCATTGTCTCTCTTTTATCCAGCTGTACTTTTTTGTACCACCACATTTAATGCAGAAGAATCTTGTGAATTGCTGAAGGAGAAAATGTTAATTTTCCTTTCTGACACATAATTTGGGGCAAGAAAGAAAGCCTAACATTTCATCTCTTCTTTATTGGTATGGTTGCCTGAGAAGAGAAACATCTTATTTCAAAACATTTATCAATATTTTAAGAAGCTTTGTGTGATATCTTTTAAAATCCAGTTATCAAATATGATAGTGTAAAAAGGCTAAATCATAGTTAATGAGAAAATGTAAGAAAGTTTTTGAATTAATATTTCTCTTTTGATGAAAGGACAACACAGACATTGTGAATTTAAGTGAACATTTGCCTCTAGATGATTTACTATAAACATATTGCATAAAATTTTCTTTTGAATAACAAATGAATGCTTATTTCTATATAATGTAAGCAAAATCATTATTTTTCCTATTCACTTGAAATAACTTATGGCTTAAAATGCTTTCAGAGTTTGTTTTATTTTTCAAAATTAAAATCTGGTCACTGAACTCCATTTTGTTTTCTGGTTTAAAAACAAAAAGGTTTCTCTTAACAGTCTCTTCAGTGACAATGCAAGGTAAGTATATTAAGGGAAATCCAACAATTGTGCGTGTGGGCTTTTTGTTACGGGATATTGATTTCTTTTTTCCCTCAACATTGTCTACTGCAACTTAAATAAAAATTAAAACATTTTAAGGTGTTTAGTAGACAGACCAAACAAAATTATATTTTTTTTTATTTTAAAGTGTGTTTTTCTCTTCAACTGATCTAAAGATGAAAGAATATCTTATGTAGAAATATTTTGATAATATTTTTACAATAAGCTTTCTTGTGTTTTTTATGTCTTAATTTTTTTGCTGCGTTTACTGTAGGTTGCACAAGAACTTTTACTCTTGTAATTGTGCCTCAGACTTTTTGAAAGTCTTCCTTCTGAGTTGCCCAGATGATCCTCTAGATTCTACATGTTACTATTGGTTTATTCTTGTGCTTTCTGTATTTAAAATTTTGGCTGTACTAAGCAAATGCAAGGTTATAAATTTAGCTAATAGTAGTTTACAGACAATTCAGATGATTATGATTTCATTTGGTTTAACTAAGCTGTACTAGTTCATTTCATAAGGAAATGATGCTGTAGACAAATGTAAATAAAGCCTGTGAGTCAAGCATCAAGTGGTGTTTGTTAGAAATAAACTAGAGATTTTTAAGCTCTGATCTAATGTTCATTTTTAAACTAATTACAGTTTTGTTTGTTACTTTTGACTGATCATTTTTTTAAGCTCTTTATATTCACTTACCCATTATATATGAGTGCTTGTTTTAAAACATTCCAAAGCCATGGAGTCACTGCAGCCTTGGGTACTCAGAATTGTTAGTTGTGACTTTTTGAAATGAAGAACTCCCAAGTTAGTTGAATACTACCTGCCAGAATATCACATACCTATCCCACATCGTGAAATAGCATATTGCAGTGCCTTTGCTGAATTACTCTTAAACTGTCACTCTGTAGCACTCAACAACTGTCCATTTAACTGCTAAGTTTTCTTAAGTTTCTATTTAGAATCTATTCATCTAAACAATATCGAATGGTGTTTGGTAATGTCTAAGTTTAGAGCAAACTCTAAATACAAGGCCATCTCTAGGCCCAATTACTAAGGTAAATGAGGTCTTTGTTTACCATCTCGTCTCCCATTATTGCTATCTGGTGTCCATAGCCAGTGTTGTGGATGCTGATAAGAAGGTAGGGAATTTCTGTATTCTTCCCCCCATTTTTGATGTAAATGTTAAATGTTTTTTAAATAGAAGTACCCTGAGAGTTTTCCTGACCTGAAAATTGTATTATTTGTGTTTCTGGGAAATAGAGTGAACAGTTTTAATTAACAGTTTAATATGTATAAAACAAGTGATTAACAGGCATTATCTAATTCTTACAGTCCTGTGTAGGTATATACTAGTGCATATCTGCTGTTTTACAAAAAGGAGGGTTTCTGTACAAGGAAATTAAAAATCTGCCCAAAGAAGCCACAGGAGTAGCTAAGTGGGGATTTGCCCCCAAGTGTGAAAGCAAATTTCAGTCTTAGGTCTGATTAAAACCAAATAACCTCTTTGAGAAAATAAATGTGAAATCATTAAGCCACATGGTCAGATGTTTTTTAATCTAGTAATTTGGTGGAGAAGGTATAATTGCAGTCATTTATAAGTAGGTAGCTAGACAGTATTTTGGAATAATTTTAGAATTACAGAAAAGTTGCGAAGATTGTATGGTGTTCTTGTATGCCCTTACCCAGTTTCCACTGTCATTAACATCTTGCATTATCATATATATTTGTCAAAACTAAATGTTAGTATATTACTATTAATTACATTCCAGATTTTATTTGAATTTTACCTTTTTTATTAATCTGTTTCTGGATCTAATCTAAAGTACCACATTGTACTGGTTGTTGTATCTTCCTGATCTCCTCTGATATGCAGTTTTTTGATCCTTTTCTTGCTTTTGATGACTTCAAAAATCTTCAGGAATACTGGCCAGGTATCTGCTAGAATATCCCCCATCCCATTCAGGATTTGGCAGTCGTTGTGATTGGACTGGGGTTATGGGTTTTTGCAAAGAGCACCACAGAGGAAACATGTCCTTTTCATCACTTCCTCTTCACTGGTAATGTTAGCCTTCATCACTTAATTAAGGTAGGATTTGCCCAGATTTCACCAATGTAGTTAGAGTATTTCTCCTTTAAACTATTATGTTTTTTCAAACCAAATTTTACTAAGGGTAGCCTATCCTCAGAGTAGGGCGGTGGGAATTAAGCTCCTGCTACTGTTGGGGGTACTATACATGCTTGGAATTCTGTAAGAAATATTTGTTTCTATTTGTTTATATTCGTATGTATTTGGGTATATTTTATACTTGTTATTTATTTTGCTGCTCAATTTGTTGTCCAGCTTTGGCCATTGGGAGTTTTTTCATATTTACTCCTTTGTCCTTTGACATGCCTCCGTTCTCCAAGAAAAGGGAAAGTAGATGATGAAGAGAGGGAGGAAAGAATTGTTGGAAAGGTATCAGATAGAGGAGGGAAATGGAATCTAGCTAGAGCTATGGTTGGGGGTTAGGGAACTTTAGCCTTAAATAGGAGCCTTGACAGTTAATTACAATATCAGGAGGGTTGGGTCCAGATTGCGTTAAAGCCAAATTTGTAATTGAGAGTGCCTTATAAACATCTTACGGGTTTTTTTGCCAGCCACATTTAACTACACAGGAAGTTTATATAAGGGTACTGGATATTGTAACATTATATATAGGTACAAAAGATAAGCATGTTATAAATAATTCATAAATGTCTATTTAACAAAATAAAGGATACTGGGATAAGAAAATATTTACAATAACTAGGTAAATTGCTAAATACCTAAATGATCAAAAAGATTTTTAAGGAAAGCTATACAACTTTATTCAAGGAAATAAAAATACCTGGATTCAAAGCTAAACTACATAGGACAGCCCCTTCCCTTAACCATGATTTAGTGGGGGAAAGCTAGTCTCAGTATCTGGGGGATTGGTCCAGGATCCTATGGAATATAAAATTGGAGGATGCTCCAGTACCTTATATAAAATGGCATAGTATTTCCATATAACCTATGCATGTCCTCCCATAGGTATTTTAAATCATCTTTAGATTACTTATAATACCTCATACAATGCCTACACATCACTTCATTCACATGGGTTCAATGTAGTACTTAACACAGCAAATTCAAGTGTTGCTTTTTGGAACTTTGGAATTTTTCCCCTAAATATTTTCAATCCATATTTGAATCCATGAATATGGAACCTATGAATACAGAGGGCCTACTGTTCTGAAGTTAGAGATTTGTGCCTAAATAAAGAAGCAAGCTGTTAAAGGAATTGATGTGGCAGTCTTGAAGGGTGAGTAAGGTGAGCTAAGGTTATTCTCTTGCATAAATTCTGACGATTTGATAATGTTTTAAGGGAAACAAAAATATTGTGTCTGGGGGAAGTCTTGGAGAAAGAGAAGGAACTTTCTAATAATGCTGTCAATTAAATTGAGCCACATTAAACACTGAAAACAGTGATAACTTAAAGACGTTAGTGTTGAACTCAGAACAAATTGATTTTTGCACCTACCTTAAAATGAAACATCTGTGGCCTGTTTTCAGTGAGGTTATTAGGTTGCTGAGTAGCTGCAACCTAAATGTGATAGGAAGTTAAGTTTGCTTTAATGGGTATGGTTCAGTGGTAGAGTTTGCGATGATATTGGATTTCTATCCTGCTGGAGTCAAAATGTCTGATTTGGATTTTAACTTTATGGTAGTTGTATGACTGGGGATGTTTATGCCTAAATTATTATACCTATAAAGTAAAAATAATAGAGTCTGCCTTGTAGGAATGAAATGAAGTTCCATACATGATTACAATGGTCTCTGGCACATAAGAACATAGCAAATATAATCAGTTATTTTTACCTCCTGCCCCTGTGTTTATGTTTATATATATATATATTCATTCTCAGATGGCTGTTTCCTACTTACTCATTTCTAGAACACCAGATCCATATATCTAGCTGCCTTCTGTATATCTTCCTTTAAATGTCAGGCAATTCACCATATTTAAATTCATCTTAAATCCTCTGTACACCAAAACCAATATCACATATTTCACGTTAATAAACAGCATTGTTAGTAACATGTGAATCTTAAATTTCCTTTTTCTCTTCCCACTCCAAAATCTGACTTACCTAGAATTGAGAATTCTACCTCCATTATTATTAACTGTTCCATTATTAACACTACCAACTGCTTTGATTTATAGACTACGATATTGCAGTTGTCTGCTAAATGGCCATCTGGCATATAGTAGGTTTTTGTAGTGTTTGCTGAATGACTTTGTTTCACCAAGCATTAATGCTTTCATCACTCTGATGCCAGAATACTCTTACTAACAGACAACTCTCTGCATGTTATTTATTTGCTTAAAACCTTTCAGTGCCTTCCCATGGCTTTCAGAATTAAACCAAAATCATTTTACACATAACTAAAAGTTCATGATTTTTTTTTTGCACTTGCACTAACCCCAGCCCCAAATTTCAGCATATGTAGGAACATAGAACCTATATACTAGCAATCTTAACCATGCAGACCTAGTAATATTAATAGATTTTATCTTTGTATAAGTTTTTGATACCTGTAATGCCCTACACACACCCCACTGCCATTCGTTTCTTATTCAGTCTTCATGATTCAATTCAGAACAGTAGGATGCCATCCCTGGTTCCTCTTGAGTTTCCGTAGAAATTAGGTGAAAATCCTGAAAAGGCTTGTTTTTACCCAGTATCCTTAACCCTTAACATAGTCTTTCTCATTATCGAGCAAACACTCTGTATTTGATGAGGGAGTCAGTATCTGTTATATTTAAGAGACTGTGATCACTTGTGTTGTTTCCCCATTACTAAAATAAAACAAATGCTTATTTTTACAGAAAAACATTCTTTGATTGCTAAAGGAGTTTTTATTCTAAATACATCTTTGCAAAATCATCCTGGAAACTAGTCATTAAACTTAAGTGTTGAGAAAGCATTTTTTTTTCTGTTTGTCTAATAAGGCCATTTCTTCACAAGCTGAAAAAAGTTTGAAGTTACCAGTTCAGCTGTACTTCAGTGGAAGATAAAGTTTCATGCAAGTGAACTGTGTTCATTGTCCTCAGTTTTCTATTAACATTATGCCAACTGATATTTTATGACGGACACCTAAGATAGGTTGAGAAACAAAGGCAGCCTCACTATATCACCAATGATGGAAGCATTAAAAGTTACTACACTGGAGGCCATCTGCCATCTGCTGAATAGGCTGAATGAGTTTAAGTGGCTTATCATTTCTGTGACTTGGTTTCTTAACTTTATAAATAAACTTCTGTTAAAGATTTAAGCAATAGGCCGGGCACGGTGGCTCACGCCTGTAATCCTAACACTCTGGGGGGCCAAGGCAGGCCGATTGCTTGAGGTCAGGAGTTCGAAACCAGCCTGAGCAAGAGCGAGACCCTGTCTCTATTATAAATAGAAACAAATTAATTGGCCAACTAATATATATATATAGAAAAAATTAGCTGGGCATGGTGGCACATGCCTGTAGTCCTAGCTGCTCAGGAGGCTGAGGCGGAAGGATTGCTTGAGCCCAGGAGTTTGAGGTTGCAGTGAGCTAGG